CAGTTCTGGGGCTATTGGTTGCTGTGGTTAAGTGCCGTCCAGTTGGTTCAGACTCATCGGGACCCTGTATGGGGTTTCCAAGAAGTGGCTGGTGAGCCTGAATCGCTGACCTTGCAGTTCAAAGTAACCTTGCAGTCCAGTGTATTAACCCACAGTGATTGGTAAGAAGGCAAAAAGAGAAGGTAACACACAGAAAACAAATTAGTCATTTGGAATAAACTCTGCCACATTACTTTTTTCTAAGGTTGTTAAAAGAATTATGATTCCAAATGAAAGACAGAAATACCTTCCAGTTTAGTTGTGATAGTTGTTGTTGTTAAGTACCATGGAGTCAGTTCAGACTCATAGCGACCCTGCATAGGGTTTCCGAGGCTATAAGTCTTTACAGGAGGAGAAAGTCTCATCTTTCTCCTGCGGAACAGCTGGTAGTTTCAAACTGCTGACCTTGAGGTTGGCAGCCCGACTCATAACCACTTCATTACTCCTTAGTTTTGAAAGGAGTCCCTCCCAAAATCTCTTGTTGGTCCAAGTCTGCCTTCATCCTCAGAATGGTTCTAAATGTGTGTGATAGCAGAGGTTTTGTGTCAGCTTGATTCAGCCAGTGGTTTGGCAGGTGAGAGGTAGCTATCCTCCATGACGGGATTTAATACAATGTAACAAAATCTATGGAGTCCTGGTGTGGCACTGTGGGCTAATGCGCTGGACTACAAAGCGGTTTGAACCACAAGATTGATGGTTCAAGCTCACCAGCTGCTCCTTGGAAACCCTATACAGGGATGCTATGGGTCAGCACTGACTCGACGGCACTTAACAACAACAAAATTGATGAGGTATTTCAATGGCAAACGAGTGTAGTGTGGGAGAGAGGATTTAGAGGAAGTCCCATACTGGAAACAATGAAACCCTTCCTTTCTCACTGTCCTATGTGGCAGGGGTACTGATTCTAGACCCTGGTGCCCCTGTGCCTGGCCCATGTAAGTGGAATGCCCACAAGTGCATTCAGCTCCCACTGCCACCCTACAACGTGATCTCCTGTAGGTGCCAGTCTGCCGGGAACGCTTCTGAGCTTGCTCCTCTTGGCAGGGTAAAGTTTACACTAGATTCTACTCTTGGCCACATATTCATCCAATTATATCTATAGTGAGCCACTCTTTAAAGACTGAAAACATAGACTGAATATTAATCCATAAGGAAAATACCCAAACAAAACCATCAAGTTAATTCTGACTCATTGCAACTCTATACTGGGTTGCCAAGACTGTAAACCTCTCTAGGAGCAGACAAACTTACTTTTCTCCTGAAGAGCAGCTGGTGGATTTGAACCATAGACATTGTGGTTAGCAACCCAACACCTAACCCACAGCTGAAGAAGGAACATGAAGTGATAATATTCAGCAATGTTGTCTTGACATGCTCACCACCATAACTGTAAGCTCCATTCATCTTGGCAAAATGCCTCTAGTGCTTAGGAATCCATTGTTAAAACAGAACATTTGGCATGAAAGTCATTTTTGTCTATTTCATACAGATAAATTTCAACAGGCTGACAATGGGCATTTCTGAAGTTATGGTGTTGGAGGAGAATATTGGAAAGTACCATGGGCTGCCAAAAGAACCAACAGATCTGTGTTGGAGGAAGTGCAGCCAGAGTGCTCCTTGGAGGTCAGGACGGCCAAACTTCATCTCTCATACTTCAGACATGTTGTCAAGAGGGACCAGTCGCTGGAGAAGGATATCATGTTTTGTAAGGTGAAGGGTCAGAGAAAAACAGGAAGACTCCCAACAAGATGGATTGGCCAAGTGGCAGCATCGATGGACTCAAGCGTGGCAACAGTAGTGAGGTTGGCCCAGGATCGGGCAGTGTTTCGTTCTGCTGTGCATAAGGTCGCTAAGAATAGGCACCGACTTGATGGCACCTAACAGTTACAAGCTTTAAAACAAAAACTTGTTGCTGAAGGTTTGAGGAAAAGTCATTGTGGGTAGAAGCTGAACTGGGCCCTAGATTAATATCTCCTCTCTTGCTTTCTTCTACCACCCGCCTTTCAGTTCATCATGAGGTGGTGGCTGTATAAGTTGCTGTGATGTTTTACATGCCTGTATTTCAAAAACCAGCAGGGTCACTGAGGTTTCAATGTTTCAATGGAGCTTCCAGACAAAGCCAACTAAGATGACCTGGTGATCTACTTACAAAACTCTGCCACATGGGTCACAGTAGAACATCTCTAACTTGTTATCTTTGCAGATGTCATCAGAAGGGATCAATAATGGCTGGAGGAAGCAGTGGGACTATTGAGGGCAAGGAAGACCTTCAGTGAGATGGGCTGGCACAACAGCCGCAACAATGGAGTCAAATCTGCAGACAGCTGTGAGGATGATCAGGACCTGGCAATGCTGTGCTGTGTGGTACCTAAAGTCACTGTGAGTGAGAGCTGACAACATAGCAGTGCCAATGTATCTATCCACCTTTCCTTTCTTAACTTCATCTAGTCCTGGGAGCATTCCTGGCTCTGCCTTCCCTGTATGTGCCTCAGACTCCAGGCCCAGGCCCAACAGGTTTTCCTAGCATTGCCAACCCCTTTAAATGTATTAAATGCAGAGCGCGGGGATTTCAGCATGTGAACTTAACAGCCAAGGCCAGCTATCTGCTGTGTCAGCAAGGCCAAGTGAATCAACACTGATTTTAAGTAACCTTTGCTCAAGTCCCAGAAACATGTCCTCCCAACTCCCTGATCCCCACCACCTTCACCAGGAAAAGCTCTGCTACACGTGGCAGCCTTTTAGCCTTGTTTATTTGATGGGTTTGAGGAAAAGAAAATGGAACTCTCATACAGGTTGGAGCCAGGCCAGAGCTAAAGGAACACTCTCAAGTCAGAAGATGGAGAAGCAGGATTTCAGCTGAGTCAAGAGGAGCCAAGGTTGCCTTGTCAGCACAAGCTTTGGTCCTCCACATTCAGAGAACAATTGTTTGAACAAATCTCATCTAGACAGTAGAGGTCTTGGGGCAAGGGGGCCACTGGTGGCTCTGTAAGATAAGCACTAGACTGTTAACCACAAGGATGGCAGCTCCACGAGAGAGAGATGTGGCTTGCTGCTCCCATAAAGATTCATAGCCTGTAAACCCTATACAGTATTGCTATGAATCAGACGCAACACCATTATCAATGAGATCTGGGAAGCACTGGAAAACATGGCTCCATTGTGCAATTCTTGTGAATCATGTCAGCTGGGAAAACACAGTTCCGTCTCAGAGCATGATGGTTCTTCGCACCCTGTGTGTGCGTTGACTATTCATCCCCATCCATTCTCCCCTTCTTCATAAGGAACCAAACTTGATTTTAACTAGGGAGGCAATGTGTTCAGCTAAAATACCTTCAATATTCCCAGCCTCTCTTGCAGTGGGGTGGGGTCCTTTTCCTGCCCATGAAATGTAATGAAACTAAGAGAAGTATGACATGGGACTCCTGGGAAGGCTGCTCAGAGGGACCTAACTCAGTAGGCCTTCAATACCCACTTCTTGGCTTTTTCTTTTTGCAAGTCTGTAACTTGGACTTGTTGGCTGGAGCTCCAGCAGCCATTTTGGACCATGAGGTGGCCAAGAAGATGAAAACCATGAGTCAAGGATGGCAAAATAGAGGTGCCAGGGTTCTTGATGACATTGTGGGATCACCATACCAATCCAGACTGCCTGCCCTCAGACTGCTTTTACATGAAAGAAATGCCAACCTGCTGGACATGCTTCATGATAAGGCTGTTCCACCCTCAGGAGTCCTGGTGTGGCACTGTAGGATAATCTGTAGGTTTACATCCTCTTGACCACCTTACGGTCCAAAATGGTTGCTGGAGCTCCAGCCAACACATCCAAGTTACAGACTTGCAAAAAGAAAAAGCCAAGAAGTGGGGATCAAGGGACCTGCTGAGTTAGGTCCCTCTGAGCAACCTTCCCAGGAGTCCCATGTCACACTTCTCTTAGTTTCATTATATTACATTTCATGGGCAGTCCTCACAACCGAGGTGATCAATGAATGGATGAGCGGATTGTACAAGTTAATGCGCAGGCTTGGCACCCTTAGTCATCCTCCTAGGCCAAGGCCAGCAGACCCAAGAAGAGTCACTGAAAAGCCTTGCCCTGCTCTCCCGTGGTCCCTTAGGAGCCAGGCCAGACCAGGGGCTGCCTGACTGCAGTGGAGAGAGGCGTTAGGTAGAGGACACTCGCCTGATGTCTCAGGGGGTTGTAGGGTGACAAGAGCTAGTCCCCTGGCAATTCTCTGCCCAGGATTTGGGGGCACTGCCTGAGATTTATAATAGATGATCCACCACAAGCAGCCAGGCCTGCTCCTTGGGTGCCCATATGCCCACCGGCCCCAAGAACTACATCATGTGTGGGCGCCATTCTTCTTTCCATTCTCCAGCGTTTAATGGGAGATTGCGAATGTCCAATGAGAAAGTCCCACACAGACCCTCAGCCTCACTAATTAAAATGAGAGAATAAATTAATGACTATCTGCCAAGAAAGCTCCTCATGCAAAGCTAATGTTCTCCCATGTAAACGATCACATAATTCACAATAAAACATTTTTAAAAAAGAAAGCTACTGATAGGGTGGCTCGAGTTGAAGTCAACCCAAGGGCAGTGGGTTTGGTCTTGGTTTGCCCCAGAAGCTGTATGTACGGCTCCTGCCAATCAAACTGAGAACACAGAGGAGTGGGAGGGAGGAGGAAAGGGGAGGCGTTGCTCTGTCAAGGAGGAGGGAAACCTGTGGAAATGGACAGTGAGGATGGTTCACGGCATGACGCGTGCACTGAATGGTTCACGTAAAGTAACGTGGAAATGACACCGTTTTTGTTGGATATGTAAACTCACCACAGTTAAAATAAAACACAAGAGGCTGCCCCTGCACTGAGTACAGGGCTGTGCGGGGACACAGAACCAGGGCTTGCTTTATTCTGGCATGAAGACCCAGAGGGAGCCCCGGTTACCGGAGGGCTAGGACCTTCGTTTCCTCACGCAGGCACGGAGGGCAGCACCTTCCCAGCACACTGGCCAAAGCCAATGCGGTAGCCATTTCCTTGGCAGTGCCCTAGAATAGAGAGAGGGGAGAGAGGTCAGCCACCAAACCACTGGGCTCTTCAAAACCGAGGCCCAGGTGGTGGCTACCTGACCTGAGACAGGAAGGCACCACAAAAATGATAGGCCCACATTTTAAACAGAAGAAAAACTCTCCCAGAAGGTAGTTGCCGGCACCCAGTGGGACTCCAATATACCCTCAACAGCTTTCCTAATGGTGATCAACTCTCCCTCACAGGTGTGAGTTCAAATCCTTAGTCTTCTTGAGTACAAAGCCTGGCTCCTTCACCTACTAGCTCTATGACCTTGGATCCCTCTAGATCTCAAGGGTTTCCTCATCTGTGAAATGGTTCTAATCATAGGACCCACCACCTAGGAACTGTTATAAGAATGACATGAGCTAATACACAGAAACTTAAGGTCAGCGGTTCGAAACTACCAGCCGCTCCGCGGGAGAAAGATGAGGCTTTCTACTCCCGTAAGGATTTACACCCTCGGAAACCCTGTACAGGGTCGCTATGGGTCGGAACCGACTCGACGGCACTTAACAACAACAACAACAATACACAGAAAAGTCTATGAATGGCCTGTGATAAATGTCCAACAAATGCCAGCAATTGTGTTGGTCGTGCGCTGTGTGACTGAGACAACTGGTTTCCCTCTGAGCTCAACTTCCTTGTCTGCAAACAGGAGTAAGAATCCCTGTCTCTAGGGTTTGTGAGGATTAGGTGGAAAGGGAGGTGAAGCTCCCAGTATGATATCTCACACACAGATGCTCAACAAATGTTAGCTTCATTCATTCAAATCCATTTCAATTAAAGTCATGGAAATGCAGAAAGGAACAAGAGCCCACCCTTGTCCTTGGGAATGGTAGGCTTAGGAAGAAGGATAGATCTAGATAAGAGTTACAGGAAAATGCCCACCGGTTCTGTGAGAGAAGGGCTGGGAAAAACAGAGAGCAGAAAGGAGGACACATCTGAGCTGGGCCTTGATGAGTGGACACAATGCAAAAGGACATTCAAGACCGAAGGAAGAGTGTGTGCAAAGGCACAGAGACTCGGCGTGAAATGCATTTGTGAACCTGTCATAAGGGAACTCTGAGGGTTAAATTACCAAGGGCTTTGTGAAGCCATGTGAAGAAGTTTGAGTCTTATCTGAGGGAACTTAGATGACAAAGAGGTCTTCAGCAAAACAGCAACATATTACAGCTATGTTATACAGATCTCTTTCTGGTGGCCCCAGTGAAAAGAGAGATTTTTAAAAATTGGCTTTATCAGTGTCATGGCAATATAGAGACCTTCAGACTCGTAAGGTCAGAACACTTCTCCAGGGCCCTATGCGTTGCTGAACCCAGATGAGGCACTGGCCAAATGAGTGTAAAGAAGATAGTGACCCGGCCCATGATGGAAATGAGAGTCATTGCCAGGAATGCTCATGATCTTCACTTATATGGAAACATCACTGAGACACCCTCACCTACTGGAGACAAGTCACAATCTGGAGCTATGTCTTCAGCCACCCAATGTGAAAAAGGGGAAAATGATGACTCCAGCAACCAAGAGAAAAAAAAATCAAAGCATCCTTCTGAGAAGACTCACAGCCATCTAGGCACAGAGACTAAAGGTAGATTTGTGATATGAAGTCAGCCACAACCTCAACAAACCACATCCTCAACAAGCCACATCCTCAACAAGTGACATCCTCAACAAGTGACATCCTCAACAAACGAAATCCTCAACAAACCACATCCTCAACAAGCCACATCCTTAACAAGAAACATCATCGAGTCTAGGAGCAGAGGTCCTTAGGACCATTAACGGAGAAGAGCCGAGAGCGGGAACCTACCCAGAGAAACAGTGATGGAGACAGAGACAATGACGTGGAGCGATGGAGCAGCTGGGGACTTTAGATCCAGAGAGGGAGAGCGACTGTGCTGAAGACTGGGGGTGGGGGAGGGGTAGTGTAGGGGGCAGGCTTGCAGGGTATACCCTTTGGTCAGTTGATGATGCATGGAGGGGATTATAACCATGGCAATGATACGATGCACAACAGAATGAATGTAAAACTAATGTTCTCCCATGTAAACTATCATATAATTCACAATAAAACACTTAAAAAAAAGAAACACCCTCGACAAACCACATCCGCAACAAGCCACATAGTCAATAACATTCTCAATGAGCCCTCATAGCCAGCATAGGACAGAAATTCACTGGGATGGTCCTTAGGACCATCCCTGCCTACTACCTGCTATATGCCCAGTCTGTACTTCCCCGCCCTTTCCCCCATCATCCCAGCCATCTAAATGGTCCTTCCTACTTACAGTCACTCTGATCCCTAGCCTTTCCTAAAAAGCTGCAGTGTAGGCCCCACAGGTTTCAGTCCTGGTGACTATCAGGTCCCGCTCCTGGTATCAGCACATTCAGGCCAGCCTCCCCATGACTTATGCACTGACCCACAACATTCAGGGACTCATCTGTCAGGAGCAACAGCCTAACCTAGTCTAGTGCTCAGTGTCATGACATTTCTGTCAGTCACTTTGGAATCCTAATGCTCAGAAATATCTATTATCATCTCTCCAAGTGACCACCTTGAAATTACAGTATTTTTAAAAAGCCTCCTTCCTAATACGCTGCAAACACTCAGGCGATGCGCAGCTCCCGACCCCACTACCAGGTTTTCAATTGTTGTTGTTGTTAGGTGCCATCAAGTCAGTACCAACTCATGGCAACCCTATGCACAACAGAATGACACACTGCCCGGTCCTGCACCAATCTCGCAATCTTTGCTATATTTGAGCACATCGCTGCTGCCACTGAGCCAATCCATCTTGTTGGGGTCGTCCACTTTTTCACTGACCTTTCACTTTATCAAGCATGGTATCCTTCTCCAGGGACTGATCCCTCCTAATAATATGCCAAAGTATGAAGACAAACTCTGGCCATTCTGGCCTCCAAGAAGCATTCTGGCTGTACTTCTTCTTCCAACACAAATCTGTTTGTTCTTTCGGCAGCCCATGGCACTTTCACTATTCTCCTCCAACACCATAACTCAAAGGCATCAATTCTTCTACGGTCTTCCTTATTCACTGTCCTGCATATGAGGTTATTGAAAATACCATAGCTTGGGTCAGATGTACCTTAGTCCTCAAACTGCAGACTAAATAAATCAGCATTAATTCCTCCCTGTCCCTGAAATTACAACAGCACCACCACTCACACCAAGATAGAGCCTGTCTGCTTTCAGAATGTGGACACATGATTATATCATTTCGCATCCAGGCAAGCCAGCACGGTGGGCAAAACTAGCCATATTCTCCCCATTTTACAGTTGGCACATGCAGCCAGTACCACTTTGGGCCAGATGAGTTTTTTATTGTGGGGACCATCCTGTGCATTATAGGGTGTTTAGCAGCATCCCTGGACTTCCCCATGTGATGTCAGTGGCATCCCCTTCATTGTGACTATCATAATTGTCTTCCGACGTAGCCAAATGTCCTGTGAGGGGGAAAAAAGTGCTTCTTGGTTGAGAACGACTGGCCAGGAAAATAAAAGGGACTCTTCCTCTGTACCCACTCTCCAGTCCAGGGGGGACAGGCACCCTCGTGGAGAGCCAGAGAGGTCCGAAGACAAGGAGAGTCTGCCACCATATGAGATCACATCACTCAGTCCCAGACACAGGGGGAACGACCGCGCTCCTGCTTCTCCAGGCTGGGCTCCATCAGCTCAGGAGGTGAAGGGTGAAATGTGGTATTTCCTGTGGAGTACTTGCCCTGCCCCCCTGCCCTCACTTGTCCTTTCCTGGAATCTACCCTCAGCCAACACCCACCCCACCCCACTAATGGGAATGAGAACCATAGCAATTCGATGGAGGAATTTCACTGTCTAACAATGAGGTTGGCAGAATTGAGATGACTGTATGAGACAACAATTACGTGAAGGGTGGTGAGCGGAGATTATGGTACAGAGACTTATAAATGCGATGATTCTGGCTTATCTGGCTGGTCCCTAAAGGCCGATATAAGTGTCTTTGTAAGAAAGAGGCACCAGGAGATTAGACAGGCAGAGGAGGTAGAGTCAGTGTGAAGGCAGACACAAAGATTGGAGTTGTCATGTGCTATCAAGTCGGTTCTAGCTCACAGTGACCCTGTATAGGGTTTCTGAGGCTATAAGGCTTTACATGGAGCAGCTGGTGGATTTGAACTACTGACCTTGTGGTTAACAGCCCAGTGTGTAACCCATTACATCACCTGTGCCCCAAGATTGCAGTGATATGGCCATAATTCAAAGAATGCCAGTGGCTACTAGAAGCTAGAAGAAACAAGGTACAGCTTCTCCCCAAGAGACCCCAGAAGGTGTAGGTCTCCCGGTACCCTAATATCAGCACAGTGAGACAGATTCATGTTGTTTCAAATCACCTCATTTGTGAAAACTAGCTACAATGGCCATGAAAACAATACAGGCTCTTAGTCAAGCATGGGAACACACCGAATTACCTAGAAGTCAGTGCTTGGAGTGAGGCAGAGAAGACTGAGAGATAGATTCTACCTGAAGAACCAGGGTAGACTTCAGAGAGAGGACAATATCTGGACTGAGTCAGTTTTAAGTCCAAGGGTGTGCAGCTTTATTACAACTAAGAGGTATTAGGATCGGTACTGGTTATTGGTATTAGAATGAGATGAGGTTGTTGTTGTTGTTAGGTGCCATTGAGTTGGTACTGACCCATACCGACCTTATGCACAGCAGAACAAAACACTGCCCAATTCTGGGCCAACCTCACTACTGTTACCACACTTGAGTCCATCGATGCTGCCACTTGGCCAATCCATCTCGCTGGGGGTCTTCCTCTTTTTCTCTGACCCTCCACCTTACCAAT